GATGAGACGAGATTGATTGATTGATGAAGAATAAGCCACTCAAGAGGTGGCACGGGCATGAATAGCCCGTAGCAACGAGACGAAGTTGTTGTTTAAGAATCGCTACTTGGAACAAAAAGTTCCAAGTAGCACGGGCTATGGTGAGCCCGTTTTCACCGAGACGAGGGAGGCAAAGGGCATTAAGTAAGGCAAGAGAAAGAGGTGAGGAGATGGAAATCTTAGTGCAAGGGAAAAGGTAAAGTGATAAATGTCAATCACTTTATGTCGAAAATGCAAGAATTGACTTAGATTGATATACACCAGTTTAGTCCGGCCAGTACTGTAATGATACGTGTAAAGTGTTACCAGTAGTAACCTTTGTGACAACGACAATGTCCGCGTGGTATACTGTTGTTGTCACTCTTATGTAATTAATATACTCTAAGTTTTATATAAACTTTACCCAATTATAAATATACATTTACGATGGATTTGACTTCTGTAAAAGCACATAAAGCTGAAGACGATGAAATTGGTAATAGCCTTGACAAGTTTGAAGGACTGGAGCAACAAGTGGCACTCGGAGTTCAACTCATTTAAGTGCAAAATAATGAGGCCGGATGCCGGACACAAGAAACCAAATAGGAAAGGAACCCATAATGGAATATGAGATTGATATTATGTATTGTACCGTCGACCAACACCCAGGTATACTGTACCGTCGACCAACACCCAGGTATACTGTACCGTCGACCAGCCCAACACCCGGGTATACTGCACCGTCGACCGACCAACACCCAGGTATACTGTACCGTCGCCCAGCCCAACACCCAGGTATACTGTACCGTCGCCCAGCCAACACCCAGGTATACTGTAACCCAGGTATACTGTACCGTCGCCCAGGCCAACACCCAGGTATACTGTACCGTCGACCAGCCCAACACCCAGGTATACTGTACCGTCGACCAACACCCAGGTATACTGTACCGTCGCCCAGCCCAACACCCAGGTATACTGTACCGTCGACCAACACCCAGGTATACTGTACCGTCGCCCAGCCCAACACCCAGGTATACTGTACCGTCGACCAACACCCAGGTATACTGTACCGTCGCCCAGCCCAACACCCAGGTATACCCAACACCCAGGTATACTGTACCGTCGACCAGCCCAACACCCAGGTATACTGTACCGTCGACCAGGCCAACACCCAGGTATACTGTACCGTCGCCCAGCCCAACACCCAGGTATACTGTACCGTCGTCCAGCCCAACACCCAGGTATACTGTACCGTCGCCCAGCCCAACACCCAGGTATACTGTACCGTCGACCAGCCCAACACCCAGGTATACTGTACCGTCGCCCAGCCCAACACCCAGGTATACTGTACCGTCGACCAGCCCAACACCCAGGTATACTGTACCGTCGCCCAGCCCAACACCCAGGTATACTGTACCGTCGACCAGCCCAACACCCAGGTATACTGTACCGTCGCCCAGCCCAACACCCAGGTATACTGTACCGTCGACCAGCCCAACACCCAGGTATACTGTACCGTCGACCAGCCCAACACCCAGGTATACTGTACCGTCGACCAGGCCAACACCCAGGTATACTGTACCGTCGCCCAGCCCAACACCCAGGTATACTGTACCGTCGCCCAGGCCAACACCCAGGTATACTGTACCGTCACCAGCCCAACACCCAGGTATACTGTACCGTCGACCAGCCCAACACCCAGGTATACTGTACCGTCGCCTAGCCCAACACCCAGGTATACTGTACCGTCGACCAGGCCAACACCCAACACCCAGGTATACTGTACCGTCGACCAGGCCAACACCCAGGTATACTGTACCGTCGTCCAGCCCAACACCCAGGTATACTGTACCGTCGACCAGGCCAACACCCAGGTATACTGTACCGTCGACCAGGCCAACACCCAGGTATACTGTACCGTCGTCCAGCCCAACACCCAGGTATACTGTACCGTCGTCCAGGCCAACACCCAGGTATACTGTACCGTCGCCTAGCCCAACACCCAGGTATACTGTACCGTCGACCAGCCCAACACCCAGGTATACTGTACCGTCGCCCATCACCCCAGGCCAACACCCGGGTATACTGTACCGTCGACCAGGCCAACACCCAGGTATACTGTACCGTCGACCAGCCCAACACCCAGGTATACTGTACCGTCGACCAGCCCAACACCCAGGTATACTGTACCGTCGACCAGCCCAACACCCAGGTATACTGTACCGTCGTACCAGTCCCCAACACCCAGGTATACTGTACCGTCGTCCAGCCCAACACCCAGGTATACTGTACCGTCGTCCAGCCCAACACCCAGGTATACTGTACCGTCGTCCAACACCCAGGTATACTGTACCGTCGTCCAACACCCAGGTATACTGCACCGTCGCCCAGCCCAACACCCAGGTATACTGTACCGTCGCCAACACCCAGTCCCAACACCCAGGTATACTGTACCGTCGACCAGGCCAACACCCAGGTATACTGTACCGTCGACCAGCCCAACACCCAGGTATACTGTACCGTCGACCAGCCCAACACCCAGGTATACTGTACCGTCGACCAGCCCAACACCCAGGTATACTGTACCGTCGACCAGCCCAACACCCAGGTATACTGTACCGTCGACCAGCCCAACACCCAGGTATACTGTACCGTCGTCCAACACCCAGGTATACTGTACCGTCCAGTCCAACACCCAGGTATACTGTACGTCGTCGCCCAACACCCAGGTATACTGTACCGTCGTCCAACACCCAGGTATACTGTACCGTCGTCCAACACCCAGGTATACTGTACCGTCGTCCAACACCCAGGTATACTGTACCGTCGTCCAACACCCAGGTATACTGTACCGTCGACCAGTCCAACACCCAGGTATACTGTACCGTCGACCAGTCCAACACCCAGGTATACTGTACCGTCGTCCAGCCCACCCAGGTATACTGTACCGTCGTCCAACACCCAGGTATACTGTACCGTCGTCCAACACCCAGGTATACTGTACCGTCGTCCACCGTCGTCCAACACCCAGGTATACTGTACCGTCGTCCAACACCCAGGTATACTGTACCGTCGTCCAACACCCAGGTATACTGTACCGTCGTCCAACACCCAGGTATACTGTACCGTCGTCCAACACCCAGGTATACTGTACCGTCGTCCAACACCCAGGTATACTGTACCGTCGTCCACACCCAACACCGTCGTCCAACCAGGTATACTGTACCGTCGTCCAACACCCAGGTATACTGTACCGTCGTCCAACACCCAGGTATACTGTACCGTCGTCCAACACCCAGGTATACTGTACCGTCGTCCAACACCCAGGTATACTGTACCGTCGTCCAACACCCAGGTATACTGTACCGTCGTCCAACACCCAGGTATACTGTACCGTCGTCCAACACCCAGGTATACTGTACCGTCGTCCAACACCCAGGTATACTGTACCGTCGTCCAACACCCAGGTATACTGTACCGTCGTCCAACACCCAGGTATACTGTACCGTCGTCCAACACCCAGGTATACTGTACCGTCGTCCAACACCCAGGTATACTGTACCGTCGTCCAACACCCAGGTATACTGTACCGTCGTCCAACACCCAGGTATACTGTACCGTCGTCCAACACCCAGGTATACTGTACCGTCGTCCAACACCCAGGTATACTGTACCGTCGTCCAGCCCAACACCCAGGTATACTGTACCGTCGTCCAACACCCAGGTATACTGTACCGTCGTCCAGCCCAACACCCAGGTATACTGTACCGTCGTCCAGCCCAACACCCAGGTATACTGTACCGTCGTCCAACACCCAGGTATACTGTACCGTCGTCCAACACCCAGGTATACTGTACCGTCGTCCCGTCGTCCAACACCCGGGTATACTGTACCGTCGTCCAACACCCGGGTATACTGTACCGTCGTCCAACACCCGGGTATACTGTACCGTCGTCCAACACCCGGGTATACTGTACCGTCGTCCAACACCCAGGTATACTGTACCGTCGTCCAACACCCGGGTATACTGTACCGTCGTCCAACACCCAGGTATACTGTACCGTCGTCCAACACCCAGGTATACTGTACCGTCGTCCAACACCCAGGTATACTGTACCGTCGTCCAACACCCAGGTATACTGTACCGTCGTCCAACACCCAGGTATACTGTACCGTCGTCCAACACCCAGGTATACTGTCCAACACCCAGGTATACTGTACCGTCGTCCAGACCAACACCCGGGTATACTGTCCAACACCCAGGTACCCAGGTATACTGTACCGTCGACCAGGAACATGCTATACAAGGGAGGTACAAGCAGCAAACACGTCTCACTAATTATTTTGGTTCCTCGTCATGTAGGAAGCCATGGACTGGAGCTTCATACAAAGTTGACGGAGGGAACACGCAGGGAGACGGTAGATGTCAACACCTCAGCCGGCACAAGTAAATTAAAACATTACTAAACTAGGCTTGAAACAACGATTCCTGCACGACCACGCCCTCTCTAACACCTGAACAACCATATGAACACTACTCAACCACTGCTTGCTCAACTGTAACAAGTTCCATCAGCTAGAAACCTGCGCAGTGAAGGTATAAATGACGGATGCGGCCAAAGTTGTTATATATGATTGATTTGATTTATTTTTCCTTGTGAAATAAATCTCAAATTTGCAGGTTGTGCGGGTGCAACCCCTCTCCTGGAAAACCATTTCCCATGCAACATGTAATCTGATGCTGCTTCTCCAACAATATTGTGATGCAAGTGGCGCAGGCAGCTGGTGGTGGGTGTGGCCAGCTGGCGGGCCACCACCTCCAGCTGGCCTGGTCAGCTGCGATAATTTAAACCGTTACATTACATGACGTCAGTAACACGCCAGATATGAGAAACCACAGTCATTATATGGAGGCTATAAGGCCTAATGTAATTGTCTGGGTAATGGTAAAGTTCCTATGGAGGTGGGAGAGGGAAGCTCACCTGTGCGGGGCTCTGCGGCCAGCAGGCGGTCAACGCCGAACTTGAGCGGCGGTGCTGCGGGCGGTGATGATGCCTTGGTGTACTGGGCGTGTGTGGTGGTGGGCGTGTGGCGGGTGCTGAGGGAGAGTGTGGGCGAGGGGTTGATGTTGGCCTGAGAGAGTACCACACACGCAGCGGTCCTGGGCACGGGCGGCGGCAAGAGCATGGACGCCCGCACGCCCTCCTTGCCGTCAAACATACTGAGCAGGCCGCCCAGGGGAGGCATGGTGGGCGGCGGCACCTCCCAGGGCAGAGCACCGGAGACGAACATGAGCGGGGCACCAGAGTCGACCTTCACCAGGGCGACACACACACACACAGACACACACACACACACACGACGGGTATCTACACTGACGATCACTGATGGGCAAGTCCAGTCACTGACGCCTGACGTGGAGCTGTCAGTGAGTGCGCTAGTGCGGGTTTACTACTGACTAGCCTGAGTGCCTCTTGTCCTGATTATCCTGCCCGGGCACGACTCTGTAGTCCCGCCCCTCGCCCCGCCCACCCATGCCCATCACCCAAACATTTCTTTCATTTAATTTCACATTACCAGTTTGGCATTCCTAATGCCCATTTCGAGAGCAATGTGCAAGACCAACACTCAGTTTATATCTCACGTGCATCCATCAATCTCTTAAAACGTACGAAACAGTGAACTAAGAAGTACATATGATGGGTAATACCCTTCCCAAGACTAATGGGAAGGGCGAGGAGCGTGAGGTGATCGACGATTGGTGGACGGCGAAGCCTGCCAGCTATCATTGGCTGGGGCAGCGCCTGGGCGGGGGCGATTGGTGGAGGCGTGTGCGGGTTGTACACTGTCGTGTGAGACTCGTCACGTGGGTGTCAGGCGCCACCACGGTATCTGAGTTTGGTCTACAATGCGTTGGCTGCTGATGGACGAGGACAACCCCGTCTGCACACAACCTGTTGTTTCATACAGCTGATCTCTAGCACAAGCTGGCAGACTGTATGGCGTCTCTCTCTTCATATTATTCGCTAAGCCATCAGTTTATCCGAGGATCGTCAGTCAGTAATGCTGGTGATAATGAGGTGGTGAAAGAGTGTGCAGAAATTGGTGCGGCCGCTTCTCTAACACGGTGGTGAGATGCTCTCCTTGAGGGCTCCTCTCTGCCGCTCCCACCCAATTACTGGACCCTTTTATCTCCCGCCACGGATACTCACCCACGCCCATATTCTCAGAACACAGCTCATTAAATATGGTAATAAATCACTAAGTTCCCTTCACCACAGGTGGACACAATGAGTCAAGTTCCCTTCACCACAGATGGACACAATGAGTCAAGTTCCCTTCACCACAGGTGGACACAATGAGTCAAGTTCCCTTCACCACAGGTGGACACAATGAGTCAAGTTCCCTTCACCACAGGTGGACACAATGAGTCAAGTTCCCTTCACCACAGGTGGACACAATGAGGCAAGTTCCCTTCACCACAGGTGGACACAATGAGTCAAGTTCCCTTCACCACAGGTGGACACAATGAGTCAAGTTCCCTTCACCACAGGTGGACACAATGAGTCAAGTTCCCTTCACCACAGGTGGACACAATGGATCAACAGACTTTAATACAAATGAAAGCTGACCTTATCTCAGGGTCAGTGTAACCTGTTAATCGAACTAATTTTCGTTCAGCACTTGCTGTCTTCTGTCCACGAACTTCAGCACTTCCTGTCCTCTCTATCCATGAGAATTCTGATGCGAAATTTACAAGTAATTATTTCACTGGTCTCGGTGATCATCCAGAGACAGATTATATGTGAGAGGACGGACACACACACACACACACACACACACACACACACTGGAATGCATTAGGAAGTGATTGGAATGCATTAGGAAGTGATGTGGTGGAGGCTGACTCCATACACAGTTTCAAGTGTAGATATGACAGAGCCCGATAGGCTCAGGAATCTGTACACCTGTTGATTGACGGTTGAGAGGCGGGACCAAAGAGCCAGAGCTCAACCCCCGCAAACACAACTAGGTGAGTACAACTAGGTGAGTACACGCACACTCAGGTCAAGGGTGCACACATGAGAAGGCAGTATTTCTCGCGGGTTAGTGCCAGCCGTGTCCCGCTGACACGGTGTGTACCTCACTCACTCACTCCACCTTGCCCCACAACGGCGAGTTTTACTGTGCACTCTAATGTGTAAGTACTCACCTAGTTGTGCTTGCAGGGTCCAGCTCTTAAGCCCAGTCTTTCGACCATCATTAGTTCAAAGCAGTGACTCTTTTCACTCTTTTTTTTCTAATCTAATTACATGAGGAACTATGTATCGAATTGGCTTGGACCACTTTAATTCTTATCTAGTCCGTTCCAGTTATTGACGACGCTTAGACCGATAAAAGTTCTGCTGACATCTCTGTGACTCATCTATGTTTCCAGTTATGTCCTCTAGTTCTATTGTACCTTAATTTGAACACTGCTTTTATGTGTACTTTGTCAATCTCCTTAAGTATCTTATACGTCGTTATCATGTCTGCCCTATCCCTTCATTCCTGCACTGTAGTGAGGTCTTACTCTCTGAGTCTTTCTTCACAGCTCAGGAACGAGCATTGCAGCATACTTTTGTATTTTTTCTAGTTTGGCTTTGTCCTTTAGATTGGGAACCCATGCTGGGACAGCATACTCAGTAACAGCTCTCACGAGGATGTGTACAGTGCTCGGGGTGTTGTTGCTGAAGAGAGAGGGCAGGGGAGTGTTGTACATGAGAGGGTTGGGGGGTGGGGGTTGTAATGGAAGATTGGGGTTGTGAGGAGCGGTAATGAAAGAGGCTTTAATGTACAGATAAACTTAAAAGTATTAGTAAAACTCTTAATATATAATTTTACTAATACTTTTAAGTTTATCTGTACATTAAATCCTCTTTAATCCTTTACTCATTATATGAATATAATGAGTAAACATAAATATTAAGTGTAAACATAGTGTAAACTAGTGTGACTACTGCGACTCTCCCAGCCGGGTGTACCTGGTCACCCGCAGGAGACATGTATACCCAGAGGTGTACCTCGCTCCTCAGTGTATACACACACAGTATACATTAGTCCTGGACTATTTTCAAAGCTAAAGTATACTTGCTGTTAGTCTATTGTGGCCTAAACAACCCTCCAGCTCCAGAGGTTGACCGGCCTTAAGCCCCAGGTACACTAACTAGGGACGCGGGTGGTAACTAGGGACGCGGGTGGTAACTAGGGACGCGGGTGGTAACTAGGGACGCGGGTGGTAACTAGGGACGCGGGTGGTAACTAGGGACGCGGGTGGTAACTAGGGACGCGGGTGGTAACTAGGGACGCGGGTGGTAACTAGGGACGCGGGTGGTAACTAGGGACGCGGGTGGTAACTAGGGACGCGGGTGGTAACTAGGGACGCAGGTGGTAACTAGGGACGCGGGTAGTAACTAGGGACGCGGGTGGTAACTAGGGACGCGGGTGGTAACTAGGGACGCAGGTGGTAACTAGGGACGCGGGTAGTAACTAGGGACGCGGGTGGTAACTAGGGACGCGGGTGGTAACTAGGGACGCGGGTGGTAACTAGGGACGCGGGTGGTAACTAGGGACGCGGGTGGTAACTAGGGACGCAGGTGGTAACTAGGGACGCAGGTGGTAACTAGGGACGCGGGTGATAACTAGGGACGCAGGTGGTAACTAGGGACGCGGGTGGTAACTAGGGACGCAGGTGGTAACTAGGGACGCGGGTAGTAACTAGGGACGCGGGTAGTAACTAGGGACGCGGGTGGTAACTAGGGACGCAGGTGGTAACTAGGGACGCGGGTGGTAACTAGGGACGCAGGTGGTAACTAGGGACGCGGGTAGTAACTAGGGACGCGGGTGGTAACTAGGGACGCGGGTGGTAACTAGGGACGCGGGTGGTAACTAGGGACGCGGGTGGTAACTAGGGACGCGGGTGGTAACTAGGGACGCGGGTAGTAACTAGGGACGCAGGTGGTAACTAGGGACGCGGGTGGTAACTAGGGACGCGGGTAGTAACTAGGGACGCGGGTGGTAACTAGGGACGCGGGTGGTAACTAGGGACGCAGGTGGTAACTAGGGACGCAGGTGGTAACTAGGGACGCAGGTGGTAACTAGGGACGCGGGTAGTAACTAGGGACGCGGGTAGTAACTAGGGACGCAGGTGGTAACTAGGGACGCAGGTGGTAACTAGGGACGCGGGTGGTAACTAGGGACGCAGGTAGTAACTAGGGACGCGGGTGGTAACTAGGGACGCGGGTGGTAACTAGGGACGCAGGTGGTAACTAGGGACGCGGGTGGTAACTAGGGACGCGGGTAGTAACTAGGGACGCAGGTGGTAACTAGGGACGCAGGTGGTAACTAGGGACGCGGGTAGTAACTAGGGACGCAGGTGGTAACTAGGGACGCAGGTGGTAACTAGGGACGCGGGTGGTAACTAGGGACGCGGGCAACATGGATGTTAGAAACACTTCCTTATTTTCATGCTAAATAAATGGAATACACGTGGATGTGGAGGTAGATGCCACATAGATTAAAATACAAAACCCAAAAGGTTCCGTATCTCTACATCATACAGTTCGATATACATTTAGGTTGCTACACACACGCGCTTGAGACCGCGTACACACACTCACACACGAGGTTACGAGGAAAGGCTGCGGGAAATGCACCTTACGACACTGGAAGACAGAAGAGTAAGGGGAGACATGATCACAACCTTCAAAATCCTCAGGGGAATCGACCGGGTAAACATAAACTATTCAACACTGGTGGGACGCGAACAAGGGGACACAGGTGGAAACTGAGTACCCACATGAGCCACAGGGACGTTAGAAGGAACTTTTTCAGTGTCAGAGTGGTTAACAGATGGAATACATTAGGCAGTGATGTGGTGGAGGCTGACTCCATACACAGTTTCAAATGTAGATATGATAGAACCCAGTAGGCTCAGGAACCTGTACACCAGTTGATTGACAGTTGAGAGGCGGGACCAAAGAGCCAAAGCTCAACCCCGCAAGCACAAATAGGTGAGTACACACACACACACATACACACACACACATACACACACACATACACACACACACACACACACACACACACACACACACACACACACACACACACACATACACACACACACACACACACACACACACACTAAACAGCTCGATTCTGTAGGCACAAAACAAAACAAATTGTCAATGCACACACACACATACACACACACACACACACACACATACACACACACACACACATACACACACACATACACACACACATACACACACACATACACACACACACATACACACACACACACACACACACATACACACACACACAACTTTGAGTACCTGGTAGAGCTAGGACTTATCTCCCCCCAAAAAGAACTAGGAATCAAAAGGCTGGCATACCGAAA